AGCTTTGGTGTGAACGAATTCATGGTTGCTGCATAGAGAGTATCAACCTTTGCAACAAGAAGAAGCATTTCACTGGATACAAAAAATTTGAGCACAAGGAGGGAAATTCTTGGCAATGTACTCCAGTCAACTCTATGACGTTCTTAAACTAATGTTGCATTTCTTGTTTATTCATAGAAAGTTCCGAGTAGCTGTCAAAAATGAATTCAGAAGCTTTGATAAAATAAATAAATAAATTTAATAGAGAATAAACAAAAAATTCAAAATTTCAGTATATTGACTGATATATTATTAGATGGGAATCAAGCGGTAAGCAACGGCTTGCTCTCGCTGCGAGAGGATAACTTGACACTCCCCAGCACAGAAAGTTCCTTCAAACGGCATTGAAGCAACACGCGTTACTTCATCATTGGAGGTACGTACGAGTAGCATGACTAATTAACTAATACTTATTGCCTCTCTCGTCAAACAAAAATAGGATCATTACATAGTGTTTGCTTTGAGGTTACTACCTATGAATTCGTTCGAGTGCGGTTCGGTTAATGCCAGGCGAAGCAAATCAAGATGATGTACTCATCGACGTCAAGTTGTAAATTTTTTTTTATTTCACTCATTTTTTAAGATTAGGACTCTGAGGCTTTCTATTTTTTAGAACACGATGTAACATTTTATCATTAAAGTAAATTAAGATACTTTAATGTGTTTATAATACTCGAAACCATCAATATTAGCCTTGACTAATGTTTGTTTTGTTTCTTTCAACCGATTTAGAGTATTTTCTTTTTTTTCCAAGCTAAAGTTTGAAAGATTAAGCGTAATAAAATGTTTAAGAATGCTTATGTATAAAAAATATAGAATTAAGAAGAAACGTAACTCACTCACAAAATTCTCGAGTGGTGTTTTTCGAAGAAGTATCAGGCTACATTAGCTATTTCCAATGTAGGTAATATAAATTTTTCCAAGAGAGCTCTTAACCTTCCTCACGGAAAATTTCAGAGAATTCGCCTTATGGAACAGAGGAAACTCCTTGCCATTTTTGGTAAAATTCGTATATAATCTTCCTTTTGAAAAAAAAAATAAATAAATAAATAAACTCGCTGACAAAGAAAACAAGGGTATACAAAACAACGATCAAATTATGCAAAAAGAAAAAAAAAAAAAATCTTATAAAAATCGGACATAACAATTGACCAGAAATTGATACCTTAAATTTTGAGCTGACGGTGGCGCTCTCCAGCTGTACCCAAGGTGACGGGCTGAAAATATGCTCTCAATCGGATCCACAATTCCAAAGCCCTTATCATTCCCGTGTGAAAAGGGAGGGTAGGTCAAAGAGTGCCAAACTCCTAGCTGCAGTGTTGCCGAGTGCATCTCAAAATCACGGATGTCCCGTGCGTCCGTATGAGAGAATCGGAATTTTTTTCAGGTGGCATGACGCCTAGGGCCGTAAAGAGAACAGGATTTCACAACTTGAATGGGAGCATGTCTTCAGAATTCACAACTCCGAGGGTGGTCGCCTCAAGTGTTGCAATACCTGAGAGGGTTGGCAACCCTCCCTTGTACCTTGGTTAATCCCGTAGTTTTTTCGACCACCCCTTCCTGTGCGCACTACTCACACGCTGCCCCTCCGTTCATTCAAAAATTCCTCCCCTGGCTGTCATTCTTGCCAGAATAGGCTGAGGAGCAGCGAATTGCCCTCATTTCTTTTTTTAAAATGTATGGTTTTTTCGAACAATCTTGCAACTTTGTCAGTTTCACGTGTGTCATCTCGTTAGTTAGTTCGTGTGTGAACGCTTTTTCTTCGGGAGGGGTTAAAGTAGAGCTTTCAACAGAGGTGTTTTCATACATGCATTAGTTCAGGTTCACTCGCTCCTTCAATTCGCTCGCCTAGATTAATTCAATGCAGGGCGTAAGGCTAGAATATTACTAAAATATCATGGTTAAATACAGCTTTTGCTCCACTGATAACTTTGTATGAGCCTATTTAAAAGATACTCCGTCAACAGAGGGAAACATCTGAACAGATAAAATTCTCTTGTTAAACGAGGGGTGGCAACGAGAGGCTAACATTTGAGACATTAAACGGAGTTATGAGTGCTCATTTTCAAAATTTCACCAAGTCACATAAAAAAGCCCCTTAAAAATCATTTGAAAAAAAAAATGGATGAGGCTATTCGTCGGTACCGCATCGGCGACATTAATTAATAAAAATGTGTTGTCAAGCCTTGGTCCGAATGGACAAAAAAATGGCATTCGCGAAAAATATGCAACAAATGAAGAGAAAGTTTACGTAACTTCTACATCAGAATGTGATTGTACTTTTCATTGCAACAACCAGGCACCATGCCGGCACATCTTCTTGAAGCGAGAGCATGATCGTTTATCCTGTTTCGATGTATCTTTGTTTCACATTCGCTATCACAGAAAGAATGGTTGCTTAGATACAGAATGCCCAGAGGTTGATGCACTGTTGGAAGAATTTTCTGATGGTTTTTCTGGAGATTTGAAGGAGAGTGAACAAAGCGTAAAGGCACTAAGTGTGCGTGAAAAGTACAACATGATTCTGCCCATTGTTTTAAACATTGCTAGCCTAACCTCAAACCACGGAACCATGCAATTCAACAGTTATTTAAGTTCATTCAAGATGATTGAAAACATGGTAAGGACTGGAACAAATGTACAACTATTGTCAGTTGATGATTCTTTTGACAGAGTAGTACATTTCAGTATTATGATGATTCATTTGACAGTGAAGTACATTTCAGTATTATGATTATTTATTTGACAGAGTAGTACATTTCAGTATTATGTGAGAGTATTAAATACATAAATTAAATTTGGAGAATATTTCTTTACAATTCGTGTTGGGTTTTTTTTCCATCTTTCACCCAATTTTTAGCTCTTAACTTCCACCAAAATATTATTAAGAAATCATATCTTTAATATAATTTACGTACTAAAATCAAAGTACGGTACCGACGAATAGCTATTTATTCATCGGTACGGTACCGACGAATAGCTATTTATTCATCGGTACGGTACCGACGAATAGCCATTTATCCGTCGGTACCGTACCGACGAATAGCCACTTCGAAAAAAAATTAGTATCATACTCAGTGTTCCCTCGCAATATTCAAGTGTGAAATTCCAAAAAAAAAAGAAAAAAAGGAAGGGTAATATTTTACCTTGTAACCCCTTCCGCTGGGGGTAATTTCCCAGATCCCCCTTCTGCCACCCCCGTTTACCCATTTACCGCCCCCTTTACAACAGAGGCTCATTCAGAATTAAGATAAGCATGATAATTTTTGAGTGCTTTCATATTAAACCGAATGTCGACAAATCATCGCGTGGGGAGCGTAGTAGCGCGAAGCCGGCGGTCGACCGAAAAAACCGAACGGTTCTCATCGGAAATTNGGGGGGGGGGGGGGGGGGGGGAGGGGGTGTGTTCGGGATGGAAACGAGAAAAATGAGAACGAAGTCGGTTCGGTATCAGATCTAGGAAATGATACTGCATTTGTAGCGCGAGCATTAATGGCTTTTAACACTCGCGAGATCAACATCTGCGGGAAGTCGCCGGCTTCCGGGGATTGTCCCGTAATGGATCAGGTGATCTCGAGTTAGCCGAGGAAGAAGAAGAATAAGAATGAGAGAGAGGAAGAAGAAGTTTTTATCTAGGATCCGGATCGAACACGGTTAACCAAATTAATCGAGTCTAATTCGGGTCGGAGATCGCGCTCCGAGGGTGACTCCACTAAAATCAGTGATCCTACGATGGGGCCCCACCGATATTTCAACTAGATACTAATTTTCGGGCCCGGGTGTCGGTGGTTTTTAAATTATGTCACATTCGGCGGGTAAATATTTGTTCTGGTCGCACGTAATGCTGACAGCTGTTCTTTATTTTCTGTCTCTTCCTCTGGCGCTCTGCCGCGACAACGACGCCAACTCACGGTTTCGATCCTTCATATCGGTGGCCCAAGTGCGTAACCATGTAACTTCCTTCATAGCAGTCTTCCAAAATTTTAGCTTCAATTTTACTTTCTTGAAGAAGAACAAGGAAATTTTTAAGCTTGAAATTTAAACATGGAGATGTTGCACGTGTGAGGAATTTGCGATTTGACTATTGATTCTTATGTAAAAGTTTGCGAGAAACATGATGGTGCCACTGGTTTTCTCTGAAATCAACTCCCAAGCTCAAAAAAAGCTCTCAAGTTGAGGCCAAAATGGAGGGGATATCCCACGCTATCCTGAGAGTCCACCTCTACATCAAGATAAACTCTCCATGCAAAGATAGGGAGCAAATACATTGACAGGGTTGGCGTGATTTCAGTTTAAGAATCCCCAAATAAGGTGGCAGCCCTGTCAATGTATTTGCTCCCTATCTTTGCATGGAGAGTTTGTCTTGATGTAGAGGTGCCGGTGGACTCTCAGGATAGCGTGGGATACCCCCTCCATTTTGGCCTCAACTTGAGAGCTTTTTTGAGCTTGGGAGTTGATTTCAGAGAAAGTCAGTGGCACCATTGTGTTTCTCGCGAACTTTTACAACAAAATCAATAGTCAAATCGCGAATTCCTCGCACATTCAACATCTCCATTTATGCTAACAGAGACAAAAATTCAGAAAAGTTTTCCAGAAATTACGTTAAATACATTTCCAAAGAAACAATGAAGTATGTCATGAAGTCTTCAACATTGCAAACGGAGATACGTGGTGTTACTTTTTGGCCGTCGATGTCCTCTGCAAGTTGAATTGTATTCAAAATCAGTAAAAACTTCCCCACATAGAAAAAAACACCATTGCAATGTAAGGGTTGCGGTCCAAACGCCGTGTTATGTGACTTAGGGAGGCGCGCCCACCGAAAGGCTAATTCAGCCTAAATATGTTTATTTCATTCACCGCGGTATGCTAGAGGGATAGTGCGGTATTTCCGTGAAGCACCATGGAAGGAATTTGCATTACAATTATAGGTAAGGCTAAGAACTCTCAAAAAAGAAAAGAAATCATTTCAAATTATGTATTTCCTTATTTAATCATCGCTGTGGTAGAAACAAATGCCTGACACACATTGAGATTCGGAACAAAGCTAATGACTGTAAAAACTAATTGTTAGTAGCTATTATATACTATTTTCATACTTTTCCGATGGAGGATGAATTGACATCGTGAAAAAATAACATAAACCATGAAGGAAAAATGTATGAAACTTTCACAAGCTTCAACTTCAAGCTGAAACTTTCAATAAGAGTAATTACTGAGCAGCACTCAAGTTTCGTCTGCCTTTTTATGAATTGTATACCTACGGGACTCTTGCGAAACAACTATATTCTCCTTCTCTTCTGCTGCCATACAAACGACTAGGGCATACCCCTGTTTGTCAAGGCATACCCAGCACATTGAATCATAATTTTCAAATTTAGCATTCCAATGAATTAAATCATAAATATCCTAAAAATGTAAAATCGATTTAATGAACTCGTCAAATCAATAAAAAAAACAAGTAATGAAATATTCAATCATCCTCAGAAGAAGAAAGCCAGCTTCGGCGGTTGTCTAGGTAATTTTTTCAGTAGGTGTTGACCGGTCCTACAAATTTTTGCTCTTTTCTCCTCATCTATTCGGTCAACGTACTCATACACATAATCATGCTCTCAGACCAATTCAACCTAAATCTCATTTGTGAATCCATGACTTTTCCGCGGAGTGAAGTCGGAGTTCTACATTCACTTTCTTACGAAATTCATCACTGATCGACTCATAAATCGCGTTTGTCAAAGTTGAAGGAATTTTACTCTGTGCGAGCACTCCGAGTTTAATCAGCTCACTCAATCTTCCTTCGTTTGCCAACTGACTACATTCAATGTGCTTTTGCATCAAGAAATGGCTCATAGGAACCCCGGTTTCAAGTAAAGAATTTAAACACCACAAATGTATGACGATTATAATTTTTCTCGTCCCTTCAGTTAATTTCATCCCTTTCTCAGATGGTATTAACCCCCCGAAGGCGAGGAAGGAGAAATACTGGGGAATGGTGAATTTGCCGACTGTGATAGGCTCTTTACTTGTACTCGGACCCTGCTTGCAGAAGTTGATGGTCCAATACTCTAGTTGTTGTCGGACGGCAAAATGTGGGAACAGCGAACACAAGAGGAAACATATGTCTGCTTCAGGGTTTTTAGAGATCACTCTGTATCGGCTCTCAAGACGAGAGTATTCTGAATCACACCTTATGTCAGAATCCTCACGAATTCCTAAAGAAATAAATTCCTTTATTTCTTGGACAAACTCTTTCATGGAAATTTTCCTCGCTGACGCTATTTTGAAAAGAAGGAGTATGGCTTCATCTGGCTCGAAATTGCGAAAACTAAGAGTAAGTTTGCTGGCAGTCTGTGAATATGGGTCGGGTTCTTCACTCAGTGAGGCATTCAGGAATTCTCTTGCGGAGTCGGGGGACAAAATTAAGTCAAGATCCAATTTTCTTGCATTTTGTCCCATTTTGTAGTAAAGTTTTTAGTCACAGAATAAGTTCTCGATTTATTAGGATGTTTTCCTCTGTAACAGGTCAATAATAAAAATGTCATTCGTAGCAAGTGGATCTGAACTTTTACTTACAACTTGAGGCTAGTTTGATTAGACTAAAAAATTTCAAAATTCAAAGTCTACGTTTCTCCAAGGAAACATTGAAAAGAAAAACTGATTTATGCGGCCTTTTTGTCCTATTGTTTTATCTCATAATTATGAAGTCCATTTGGGTTTAAGCTCTCTTGGTTTTAACACATCAAGAGTTTAAAAGGCAATGAGAAAATCAAATTTTTCGTCATGTGAGTCATTGCTGCTCAAAAAGTTGAAGGGAAAAATAAAAAGCCGCGATAGGTATTTTTACCTGGGTATCTAAACAATGAAAAAATGCATGTGAGCACTTCTTCAGACTGATAGAGATGTTGCAGTGCAGGAGCGTATAAGTTCGACACACAAAGCTTCACTGACCACTAGAACTTCCGAAGGCGGTTATATTTATTATCAAGCTAATCATCTCTGTCCCAAGAAACGGCTTGATCAAAATAGAGATTATCAACTGAACCTTGTAATTGTCGTTTGTATTCAAACGCATTTCTGTTGATAAAATACTAGTTTTATTTTTGAGTGACTAGGTTACATTGAAACACGTAAAAATTGACATCCATTAGACAAATAATTCTAAAATGTCGGAAGAATAACGATAACTTAAAACGACGCTACGGGAGGAACAATAAATTGAGCGTAAAACAAGGGAAGAATATACGAAGTTGGGTTCGAACCTAACATGCAACTATTTTAACTCTGCGGTGGGCCGGATTGCATACGCTCCATTTTGCGGGCGAAATCTGAGATCTACCAACAGCTTATTACGTGCACTTGCAACGTGCGGTGATCGCCTTGCGTTGCCTTAACGTTACGCTATTTTGTTATTGCGTGTTAAAGGAGAGAAATTTACGTCACAAACGGGAATGATGATGACGGGAATGGGGGCACTGATTTGTGCGTAATTTATAAACACTTCTGAAATACAATTAGAGAATTCTGCTCGATCGGTATCCTATCTCGATCGGTAGGAGCGTGATATTCATGACCAAAGTTCGAAACCACTTATCTCCATCGCGTATTTTTCAAAACTGTCCCGCCTATTTTATTTTAAAGAGGAAAAACAAGCCAACGTTATAACCCGAAAATTATGCAGAAAGTCTGATAATAGGGAGGAAAAATCAAGAGAATTTTCAAGAAATTACGTTTGACTAGTTTTCTAAAGAAGAAATAAAGTATTGCAGGAGGTTTGCAACGTGGCAAATTGATATAAGTGATTCCTGGTTCCGCGTTTTGGCCATTGATGTGAAAAAATGAATTACGTGCAAAAGATTTGTGTGCTACATTATGATTTTTAATTCAATTCATTGCACGCGGTTTTTTTTTTTAGCATTTAAGTCCAATTTTCTCATTTTTTACTCTTTTTTAATTTTATTATTTTAAAATTTTATTGAGCCATCTATACAGGTTCCGCTGGCTAGAGTCCCTTCATACCCAGAGTAACGACAACTCGATTACCAGCTGACTGGCAGCCGACCTTGGCTGGCCATGGAGGCCGAAACTAGTGCACTCAAACGAACGATATTGGGGGATAAGGATCAGGAATCCTGCGATGTCTGTCACACAGAAACAACAACATCAACAAATTGATCAATTAAAAAGAAAATGAGATTGGTTTGTGAATAATTTCTTAATCTATTTTCATTTTGGACCGATGGCAATAACAATTTACTCTTGATAAACCACAATTAGGTAATATTTTCATTATTCTTGTTCACATACGAGGTACCGCCATCTTGGTGCACTAGTTTCGGCCTCCATGAGCGAGAACCAATCAGAATTGGATTTTTTTTAGGCCACTTTCAGCCCAATCCTGGCCCAACCAAAAGTGAGTTGTCGTAACTCTGGGTATAAAGGGACTCTACCGCTGGCGGTTTCGATTAATCAGTAGTTTATAGTATGGGTTCTCAGCCCGGTTTTTTTGTGGTGGGGCCCGGAGCGCGTTTGTCCCCTGCAGCGTAGGAGTCTCTTTGCAGTGCAACCGTCTGGAAAAAGGAAAACCAATCGGGTTGGCATTCCAAAAAAAAGCGAGGTATATTCCCATCGATTCTCTTTGTTTCGGACACGGCTAATTGGCCGCCGTGAGCACCTTCAACGGTCGTTGAGGAAAGTTGAAAGTTACACTGATGACATTCGTTTGTGGTGCAACAACGGTGGTGGCTTTGTAAACCCGTTTCGGCCTCGCTCATTGTTTTTTTGACACTCTCCTCATCCCAGCGCACAAAAAAAGTCGAAAAAAAACCTCACGATGTGGGGTTGGAATAACGCTGTGTTGCCGCACAATTACTTTAATAATGAATAGAATACCGCGGAATCATCCTAAATGAGAGGCATTAATTGGATTACTTTTTGAAATAAGGAACTACTATCTCTGGTTTTTCCAGAAAATGACTTAGGGAAACCGATGACACATATGATGTTTCTAAAATGAGCCAGAAATAGTGGTTCCATAGTGCAAAATTTGGTCTTATTCTCCGATTGTTCTCAAAAATTATTTGATTTTACGCAAAAATTGATTGACTTTAATTGGTCACTAACTGCAGCACCCTGGAGAACTCATGTGCTGCAGTTAAAACGTAACCCATTGAAGCTTCTATCATCAGTGCTTCTATTCCTCAGTAATAAATCTTTGATGTGAGTTTGATCTTTTAGTAAGTTGTAAGGAAAAAGTCAGATGCAAACATATTTTAAAAAAAAAACTTTTGTGATATGGAATAAACTTGTTCAACTTTAAGCGAAATACATACCTAGCCCGATTGGATTATTGAACTGGGGTTGTGAGTGCCTAAAAATTGAATTTGGTCAACGTCTATTTCCATTTAGAATAAGTTAAGAGTTTATAAGGGTTAGATATTTGCCGTCTTAAATTTCTACTTTATCTTTCTTTAATTATGTAGGTTTTTGGTGGGAATATCAAACACAATTTTAACACTACCTCATAGCGCCTGCTGGAATACAAAATAATATTAACTCTATTCATGCATATGTTATCATTTATGGAGGTTTTTGAAGGCAGTATTTTCAAAAAGGCGATTTTCCAAGATTAATGTCAAATCTGGAGAATTTGATCTTGATTTTGACTTGATTTCTTTTACTGCACCAAAGAATATTTTAGACAACTTTTTTTGTGGATAAAGGACTCCAAGTTGCATTGTAATCTGTACCATTTTTTGACTCGCAACTCGAAATCGCTACGTCATGACGGTGATTTTTTCTGGACGTTTTTTGTGCCAAAATATTCTAGGAGCTGTGTGCTCTTGGGTACAAGAGATTTATCGGAGAAAGTGACAACGGTGGATCGGTGCGGCGGCGGCGCCCGTCTTGCACGGAGCCGGGAGCCGCATTCGCCGGGCTAATTTCGAATTAATAAGCACACTTCCCGGGCAAGAAAAATAGAGGAATTTAAAGAAGAATTAATTTTCATTAGGCACGCTTTGACATTTCAAGCGCGGTGATTAGCCAGAGAACAATAAAAATATTAATTCGGGGATTGAAGGGCTGCCGAGCCGGAATGCAGCCGGGAGGGCGCGCAGCGGGGCGGGGAGCGGGTGACGGGGAGGGGGAGGGGGCGCGACCCCTGATCGGGAAGTTTTGAGTGATGACAAAACTCTCGACTTGTGTTGCTTGGTCCTTTACGGTACGAGCCGAGCCTCCAAAGGCCCTTTGATCTTCGGCGTCGGCGCCGCGCGATGATGGACGCTCCGCTTTTCGTTTAAATTTCGGGAAAGATTAAAATTTCGAACAACCACATTTCCTAGCATGACACAATTTGACACCATTGAACTCAAAATGTGGTCATTTTTTTTCAAACTTTAGCACTGTAAAATGTGTGCAAATTAATTTGATTGCAATCATCAAATCTGGTTATTACAAAAAAAAAAAAAAAAAAAAAAAAAAAAAAAAAACGACAACAACAGTTGATACTGCCTGTAATGTTGGGATTTCGCACGATACAAAAGCGAGGGAAAAGTTAATTGGGAAGTTGAGAGGGAAATTCGAATTTCCCTTAACCAATGTAAACTGAAAACGCGTATATCTTAGATCGGAGTTCATTTGAGTAATTTTATAGTAGACCGAAGAAGTCAATAGTCAGAAGACATGTGGCAGAATGCTTAAATTCGTATCTTGTCTACTGGTCCACTGTCTCGAAGAACAGTCTCAAAGCAGAAAGAAAAAATATGATTTTAATGGACTCCCATAGGACCAGAACCCGGACAATGCACGGACCACCCTTTTCTCTACTTTAACGAGTGTGTTCTTCCGTCCTATCGCCTCTCTGTATTACTCATCTCAAAATTGCGCTAGAACAGCGTACGAAATAAAGTCAATTGACCTCCTTTTCTAAAACGCCCAAACTGAGTTTGGGCCAAACTCCTCCCCCTTGAGGACTAAGTTTCCAGTTCTTTCTTTCTTCTTTTTCTTCTTAATGGAAACTATGCGGGTAGGCTCCTCCTCGTGAATAACCGGAGGGATCGGGGCCAAGGTCGTGGATTGGGCAACCCTGGAGCCCCTTCGTCCCGAGGACCCGGGAAGGGGGGGGGGATTGTGGGTTAATTAATCATTCGTGGAGCACGGGCCAAGATTGGTCGATGCTGATCTGGCCACGCGACTAAACGCTCTCACCTCGATCCGGGCTCCGGAGATCCACCACTCATCGCTTGCCCGCGACCCGATTCATTTTTCTGTTAATTTGACGTTAACAAATTACCCTCTCTATTTAAGTCGTTCCGTTCCGCCGAAAAATTATTCCTCCTCCTCCCCTCCGTCCATGCCCCCTCCCCTCACCGTCGGAACCGACCCCCTCGCCGCTTTGCTCAGTAGCACCTTGCGATATCTTCATCTTCATTTGTTTCTGAATCCTTCTCATTCAACGCACTACTTTTCTTTATTTTAACGAATGAAGAGAACAGGCGATGGGGTACAAGGAGCACGCACTTGCAAGGAGCGCCAACATTTTCTCGGATTTCTTTCATTAATTTCAATTTTTAGAGATTCACATCTTCATTTCACCTCATCTTCCTTTTATTTTTTCTTCCTCGACCTTCCTCCTCCTCCTCCTCCTCCTCCTCCTCCCCCCTCTTCCTCCTCCCCTTTTCTTCTCCATGTCCTTCTCCGTCCTTGTGATCGACATCTTCATCGATCATCATCATCGAACCATCTTCTTCTTCTTCTTGTTTTTCCTCTCCTCATCCTCCTTCTCCCTGCAGAGAATTTCTCGCAGATTCTCATTTTTTCCACAGCTAATTATTTTTCTTCTTCTTCTACTCCTACTTCTTCACCTTCCTATTCTATTAAATCACCGGTGATTTGATGACTTAACTCAACAATCATGCATTACTTATATCATTTCAAAATTTACGAATTCGCTTGGTTTTTTTTTGCCGGAAAAATCAAATAGACCAACACACAGTTTTAAATTTTCTTGGATTCTTTTTTACCACTCTATTGTCTTCTTGTAAAAATGTCAAGGCAAATTTTTCATTTGTCTCCCGTGTAAAAATAAAATATGCACGGTAAAACGATGCAGAGGTCCGTGCGGATTTGGATGCAAAAAAGGGTACGCACAATCATGCTCGTGAGATATTAAGTCTTATCATACACGTAAGTATGTCGAACTGTTTTCCTCTAGCATTCTTTTTACTCTGCTAGTTTCTTTTCTTTTTTTAAATTTGTTTTTTTTTTGTTTTTTTGTTTTAGAAAAACTAACTGTAAGGAAACCCGGAAAGAAATACGGTTCAATTGTGTTCGTTTAAAAGATAACAGGTATGCTAAGCGGGTCTTTTGACCCTGTGGGGTTCTTGAAACCTTCAAGCGAGGAGACTCGTCAAAAACCAAAAATTTTACTGAGATGCACTCATACAAAAGAAGCAGCAGTGTACAGAATTCCCCGCAGTCTTTGTAAGCACGCTGTCCCATTTAGTGTTTTGTAAGGACTTAAGCTCTAGACAATATATCGATATCTTAAGTGCAACACCACGTATCTCAATTGCGGTGTTTCCACTCCTATTATATTTTTTCGAAGAGGAACAAGCCATTTGTACAGTTCGAAATCTACGCAAACTTTTTTGCTGACAATTAAGAAAAATCAAGGAACTTTCCATGGAAATAAGTTGACTAGTTTTCCAAAAAAATGTTAAGTATGACAGAAAGTCTGCAACATCGCAAATGGAGATATGTGGTTTCACTTTTTGGCCACTGATATACTGCGCTAAAGTTTTTCCCATTTGTGAAAATAGTGTGTGCAGAAAAGCACATAAATGATCGATTAAAGTAGAGTAATCTGAATTCTCTGGTTTTTAGAGGCACGTTTCGAGAAGAAGAAAATACTAAAACAGTATTTCAAGAAGTTTGATCTCAACATTTTTGTTTCTGATTCAGTCAGGAAATATAGCCACTAGACATTCTTTGAAAAACTTTTTTGATCAACGTGAATCATAACTAGAGTATATTGAGTACTCGTAATTGTCTCATGAATCTATGTTCGTAATTTATGTTGATAATATTATTAATTAGATCGAATTTAGAAAAAAGGAACCAGCCTGATTACAGTGTCTTCAAAATCGTGCGATTTCTTTTTTCCTTTGAAAAATATTAAATATAGGTTCAGTATTAAAATGTACACAATTATTTTCCATTAAATTAACAATATTTTGGTGGGATCCAAAAAATATTTGCTATTTGGGATATTTTTAGAAACTTTTAATTTTCCTTCCTGTGATTTAATTTTACTCATCTCAACTAACAGAAAAAAACCCCAGTAACAGAAATAATAACATTTTGACCGAACTCTATTTTTCTACTGCTAAATATCGTACGTAAGTAGCCTTCAAAATTTACAACTTTTAACACCAATGATGTGCTTTGTGAGGGAAAATAAGTGTACGGTATCAACTAAATCAACTCAATTTCATCAGACATCGCCTACTTTTTTCTCATGTTCATTTCCTCGCAAGAAAAATATGCAACGCCTTAAAATTTTGGTCGGCATATGTTTCATACCCATGTCACCATATCCAATGAAGAGTGCACGGATAGTTTGACGACATTCTGCTTACTTTTCTTATAAAAATAATTAATGTCAAAGTGAATTAGACAAGGTGAAATACAGTTCAGTGGATTTCGATTATTTCGTCCCAAAATGTGGAATTTTCTATCGAAAAACCTAACACTCTTTCACCGGAAGCTGTACAAGTGGTCTTTTTATGCCAAAAGGCTCTTCGTGCAGATTAATTGAACAAAAACGAAACGGAAAAGAACAGCTATTGAAATGTACTTTCGCGAGGGACACGAAAAGTTCTCACTTGCGTGGGGCGCGATGCCCCGCATTTACCTCAATTCTTTGTCGCATTTCCTCTTTCCATTTAATTTCTCGGAGATTCCTAAAGTTATTCCTCTTCTCCATTTTTCCTTCTTCCTCTTCGAACTCTATCCGCACATTTCCTTGTGCTGCCTCCGTTTCTTCCTTCTTTTCCTCTTTTCCGCCTTCTTCTTATTCCTCATCTCCTGATTCTTCCTTTTGATCTTCTCATCCTTCCTCTTGCACTTCTTCTTCTCTCTCTCTGAGCTCATTAGTCTGGCGGAGGAGGGAGGGGGGCGCAAAATTTACTCTCTTAACGGCCCTGTATACGCATTTCCCTCGAGCATAAACTCAAACATGTGTAACATCTGCCAATGAGAGGCAACGATATTTGGAGCCGGATCACCAATATTTTCGTTGTTCCAGGCAACTGGACGATCCCCAAGAGGATGCTGCGATCGACTTTCATTCCCGGCCTGATCGGAGCCATTGCGCTGGCGTCTTCGGCCTCAGGAACCGAGGAAGGACTCCCCAATTTCCCGAAGGATGACGGCTTCCCCAGCAACGCTCCCCCGGGATCCGACAACGAAACAGAGATCTACCAACGCGCCTTCGGGACCCGGCCGAACGGCGCGCCGGCCAAGAACCTGACAGAAGACGACTTCACCTCGCTCCAGATCATCGTCTTCACCGGGATCTTCGAGGTCGCTTACTTCGTCCAGCTCATCTACAACATCACCAACAACGTCACCGGCTACGAGATCGACGACCCCGACGAGCGCAGCAAAACCCTCGCGGAGTTGACCGCCATCCAATCTCAAGAGGAAGTGCACGTGCTTCAGGCCAGGTACCTCTTGTTGCAGAACGATCGCGACCCCATCCGGCCTTGCCAGTACATCACCCCCGTGAGCAACCTCAAAGATGCGATCCGCACCATATACAAGGCCACCGCCCTCCTTCTCGGCACGCTTCAAGACATTATATACCGCTTCGGGTTCAATGCCGCCCAGCTCGTGAAACCGAGTTCGGCGATCTCGGAAAACGAAGCTGAGCAGGCTGCTTTCTTCCGTCAGTACCTCGGTTATACCCCGACCTCGACTCCATACCTTACGGGCGCGACTCGGAGTATGGCTTACTCCGCCGTCCAGCAGAATTACATCGTGCCCGGCTCTTGTCCGAACAGCTTTGAGATCGAGCTTCCGATTTTCGGTATGCTCGGCATTGTTGCATTCCCGGATATGAGTAGGAAGGACAATCAAACCATCCAATTATTCGTGCCTGGCGACGATACGAACGTCATTGACGGCTTGAGCATTTGCTACGCCTACCAACAGAACGTGCCGCCTTGCGAGTCTCTGACGGATGCGCATGTGGATCAGGGTTACGTGTACTTTCTGGCCAACTATCCGACCGTCTTGGACACATTCGGTCTCAAAGGTTTGGTCATTGGCGTTTTGGTGAACAGCACCAACGATGTAACGGATGTTGATAGCTTAGATCCATACATCTTATACGGCCCTTTGTTGATTGCAGAAAATTGAGCCATATTAACAGCATTAGCCCGAAGGCGTTTACCAGAGATGAGAGGTTTTGTAATTACCGTAACGGTGGCTCATACGAATCAAAGCAGTCTCATTAATGAATTGGAAAATTAAAATTAATTATTTTTAAAATATATGCGTGTACGTCAAATAAAGTGCGGTGAAGATTATTAACTACCCAAACACCTTTCATGACAAATGGCAGGCCAGGCCTGTCCAAATCTGTGTCAATCAATTATTTTGCAATTATTTTTTCATTTCTTCGAGAGTCATTTTTGAGTGCCTTGGGATAAAAACATGAAAAATGAAGAAATGACAGTTGGAGTCCACATTACAAAATTAAATGTGTGTACTGGGTTTTTCTTTCGAAAGGCATGTGCTCAGCAACTTACCTACAGCTTGCCGTTTTTTATGACTAGTAACTACCGGCATACTTATAGAGATGTTGCATTTCAAACTTTTTATTATTATTATTATTTTCTTTTTAAATATATAACGTCAAAATTTATGAACCATCTATAGATTACGCCACGGAAGCATTCAAAATGTTAGATGCACCCCTTTGTCACGCACCAGTCACGCATGTATTCCCTCAAGTTCACATTAAAACATTTTACCAATAATATCGTGCAATTTTAAAAGAATTCACCTTTCAAAAAAGGAGTGAAAAATTTGACTTTGCAGCACATTTTTCGTGGTGTCTCGCTCACACAAATCCGTGCGCAGATCACCCTCAGACCCCACAAAGTGAAATGTAATTTATGGACGCTCTCTTCTAATAAATCTGTACACTTTAAAATATCAAGCGTTCCAACTGGCATCCATGCGCCCATGATAGGAAACAGTCAGCTGTACAACGGGTGCCTCTACCGGAAACAACAGGTTCTGATTCCAGGATGAAACTGACACTATTCCGGTCCCAATCGAAATGGAGCAATTTTGGTCACAAAAACGTTTAAGAGCTGGAAGGAGGGGGAGGGGAGGTGGTGCGAGCGCTGATCGCGTGTCCCGCTAGAAACCCTGGGGAGGAAACGTATATCAATGTGGACAAGGAGTTAAACGTTTATTTATCAGATAAACACACAATTTATCGTACGTGGCCAGTTTTGATGACGGTTTACTGCAATTTAACAGCGATGGCTCTGAATCGAGAAGCACCTAACTTAGCCCCAAATTTACACCATTCCTGAATGTATACAGTTGTTTACGATCGCTTTAAAGACAACGCTTTAGTACGCATAACTACCTCAGTTTCACATGATAGCAAATCTGGTAATTCTGTAACTTCTTTAAATAGAATGACTTTTGGTCTTCACTCCAGCATTAATTAAAATAGTTTTTTATCACGTACATAACTACGATATTACAGTAAATTTGCGTAGCCCTCTTGAATTTTAACCCGGCCCCAAACCCATCTTAGCGTAGAGAAATAGGCAAAATGTGGCCCCTAAAGAATCGGGAGTAAAATAAAACAGTGTTTGAAATTGGACCTTTTGAAAGGGATTAAAGTGAAAAAAAATTCTTCAAAAAAAATTAAAATTACAAAAGAAAATATTTTGCAAGTTTTGAAAAATTTAAAGAAAGTTTGTGGGAATCCCAGTTGGTTTTCTTTCGAATTTTTTATTTTTCGCAGTGACAAATCATTGTTACCCCTTGCAATGGTCTATTCCAATTTTGACGATGCTACGTTAAGAATCTTTTTAAAGATATCTTGATCACAATGTAAACCTCGTGAGGCCTCCTAAGGAAAGGGGCTGCTTAAGGAACGACATGGTGTGTTTGTCTGTGTTCGTGTGAGTGTTAAGTGAATGACTGTGAATGAAACCCTCAGAATCCATCATAATGCAAAACTCAGCAGTTAAGTAACAAACAGCGTCCACGGCCACGCTCTGAGTAAAAACTTCACCCCCAAATCCAAAATCCAGCGCTAAGATTGATGAGCTTTTAACCCCGGGGTCATTCGCAGCGGGGGTCCTCGTTTGTTTGAAAAGTGGGGCAAAGTGGTCATCCCGAGGCTTTATCGGTGAGAGATGTCAAATTAGTCAGGGATCCGCTGGGAACGGGGTGAAACCCAAGCACACGTGTCCGCGAAGACGCAAAAACCGCGTCGTTGCGTAAGATGTGTGTTGGATATACGCGGTTCTCGCCTCGTGGATGAGCGCGGAGTGGACACTCAGAGCTGAGCTAAGTTGAAGACGTGCTCCTGCAACCGCGGCCCGCGTTGGTTCATGTGCAACATAAACTGTCTTCAACTTGCGGTCATCCCGAGAGTGACCCGAAGCGCGGGGCTCTACGGAAAAGTCTGCGTTGTTGTCATGTTTTTCGACCGGATTTGCATTTTACCGTTTCAGGGAAAAGTTCCAGGAGTGTGGTCAAAGCAAGGGAAATCACCACAGAGACCCTGATTTTGCCCTTCGACACACAGTGGATCGAGCCAATGGGAGAGGTCGGACAGAATTTGGACACTTTAAAAGCTCATAACTCTGTTTTTACAAAATTTTGAGGTCTTAAAAATGGTCCCATTGGTTTTCTCGTAAAAGTTTCCCCAAGAATCACCCCTCAAAATTTAAAATTTGACGATATATAAACATCAAAATTTGCAGTTTTTTTCAAAAATTTCGTGTCCGACCTCTCCTATTGACTCGATTCACTGTGCGACAGTGCAAACGTGATTTTAAAGACCCAGAATTTTATCATCAGGGGAATACAAGTCTCCGCGTAAAAATGACTGCTAACTTTCAGCAATATCCAAAATAGAAAAAAAATCCTTGAGGAGAGAAAGACAAGTTCAAAGTTTAAATATTAAAGTAGGTCTCAGGCTGCTAGAAAGTTCAAACTATTGTTATAAGTCTTCAAATTAAGTTTCCGGAAACAATTTTGATTATTATTTTACGAATTGGCGCAAACATTTATAAATTTGTAAGTAGGTTTCCAAAAAAAAAAAAAAAAAAAAAAAAAAAAAATGTTCCTTACTTGCTTTATCTCGGGAGTACTCATTTTGCAAAACTCTCGGTTGTTGCCTTTAGTAAGCCTAATGAACGAGTCTCATTGTATATTCTGACCACTTTGATTAATGATGGTACTCAGCCGATCAATGTAGAAACGGCGGCAACAGTGCAAGTTCACTCACTCCGAACCACTCCGAGAAAGCAGCTCCGGAAGACTTAATTTGTTTAAGGGTCCGAGCTTTTCGGCCGCGAACGTAATTAAACGGTCAGTCCGTGACGGAACTTAACGTGGCGTTAAATAAGGGTCTGACCGCCGCCACATCCCTTCGGGGACCGCCGCGATAGAAAATGAAACGCATCATAATTTCGCACACACCTTTCAATACAACCGCCGCCCCTTCCGGTGCTGAAAATTAACTTAGCATACTTGGACGTATATCTGCCAAACGGAACTATGTGCATTAAAACATGAGCCTTAAGGCCCATAAGAATATGTACATAACAGAGCTCACGTCATAATGCACATAGTACTGTTTGACAGAACTACGTCCACTTAAGTGACGCCGAGCCCTTTGAAGGGATACTACGGCCACGGCCAAGGGCCACTCGGAGTAGATTAAATTTCATGGTTAACTTAATTATGGGTTCATCCGTTCGTGAAATTTGACGGCGATGACCGTCCGAGGGTTGGGGCGGGGGGGGGGGCGTCTGGGAATCGGGTCCCGAAAAATGACTCTCGCGCGTGCTCTGAAACATGAAATATGCAGAGGGTGCTCCGGGAAGTGGCCTCCTGAAATGACCCAACTTAGCCAACTGTCCGGTCACTTTCCCCGAAGGCTCGTTCTCCCCGAGATTTACTCGGCGCAGAGGAAACTCCAATCACCGGAAAACTGTATGGTGTAATGGACATTTGAATCGTTCGATGAACGATGTGGAATAATGCTGGGCAGTCGCGAAGGCCAATCGTCACCTGCGCGAAAAGCAAATAGATGTGTAAATAGATATTTCCCTACAGATAGACAATTCAAAGAGGAGAAAAAGAAATTGAAGCTATCCTATTGCTTGAATCGGGTGGTTTGGACTGAGGGGGACTATCGTAACCACCCACTTCCACCAATAGAAACGCTCCATTTTCTCCTATTCTTCCTTGCCCGTCGCTTGGTCTATCAATTGCAATTATCAGCATGAATAAAGAAGGAGAGAATTAAAACATGGGTAAACAAGGCTAAAACATTAAAAACACTTAAAGGCATCAGGACTTTTCGAGCTGTTACAAGCTCATTTTCAGCTGCAATAAACACAAAAATAATAAACGATTGAGTGGCGACCTGACTCCCGCCGTTATCACGTAACCACTGGAATTCAGTCCACTGAAATTCAGACTTAATTCTGGTGGTTACATGATAACGACTAGGGTCAAGTCGCCACTTAATTTTTTATTTGTTTTTTGTACTTTTTGAAGCTGAAGATGAGCTAGTAACAGCTCGAAACATCCTGCCTTTAGGGCCGGATTAAGGGGGTGGCCAAATGGGCCGCGGCCCATGACGCCAAATGTAGGGGGCGGCAAATTTTGCTATCTTTTTGAATGTATCAAAAGTAGAGAGGAAAAAATCGGATTCAGAAAATAAATTACAAACGAGAAAAGGCGACAAAATCTCTCATTTCCTGAGAGTGAAAGTATAGTAATTTCTAATTTTGTCGTCTTTCGGTGATGCAAGAGATAACACCTTTAGTTAGTCGAGTTAAGAGAGAAACCAAACACGCAATTTGATCTGGAACGGAGCGGTGAGGCGGTCGGCATGAAACGCATAGCGCTTTCAAGACTGCATGAATACTTTAGGCATTGCGTCAAACACACTGCGGTCAGCAGCAGTCGGCTTGAAACGCATAGCGCCTACAAGACTGCATGAATACTTCACGCATTGCGCCTAACGCGCAGCGCAGTCGCCGGTTCGCGTAGCGCCTACAAGAGTGCACGAATACTTCACGCATTGCGCTAAACAGTGTGGTCAGCAGCGGTCGCGGTCGGCATGAAACGCATAGCGCCTACAA